GGATTAGAGGATTTTAGCTCAATACATTAAAATGATATCGAGGTACATTCGTACTAATAATGAATGGGTAAGTATGTTCCTGGCTTCAATTCTTGTGGTGGTGTGGTACTATGATGCCTTCTCCTCTTTTCTTTTACCTGATTATTAATGTTACATATTATTACCTTCGTCTCATTAATATCGAGAGTTGAGACATAATGAAGTGGTACATTTATTAAGAAAAGCGAGTTTATGTATTTATTATTGATTTGATAAAGTAAGAATAAAGAAAGAATGATTTAGGACCACACAAATTTTATCCAATTTGGTATGATATAATCTTGGTGGCACAGGCCCAGAAGGAGAGATGGACAATCTTAGCGTTCCGAGGGAAGTATTTATTAGGGAAAAAAATATTACTTCTACACTCATGGAAGATAAAATATGAATACTTTCATTCTTTCAAAATGTGACTAATCTTAGTTATTGCCGCCGCCGGTCATCGGAAATTTCACCGGGTTCTCTCTATTTATGAATATTTTCCTGGAAAAGAACGTTATAAATTTTCACCAGTAAAATAATACCACCTGGACTTGAATGTCAAAATAACAAAAATTTAGTTTCTTAAACATCCAACAATCAGACACAACAACAAAGACTAAAAAGAGTAACAAAAATTGTCCTACATAGAAAAACTGTGATTTCTCAAAATATGGATATTACATTTCACCTAAATATCTAACTATTGTCATGCTTGAAAAGTACTATCAGTTATAATATTACTCCCTCCGTCCCGGAATTATCTTCATTCTTTCCTTTTCGGTCCGTCCCGAATTTATCTCATTTTCCCCTTTTTGGTAAAGAATATGTGGTTCACAACCATTCTTACATATTTCCCTCTCCTCTGCATAACTTTTCACCACACAAATCCCACTATTTTAAAACTCGTGCCCGGTCAAAACCGGAGTTAAATATGGGACGGAGGGAGTAATAATGTTACACCAATCCATGTTAATGCCAATTTATGGTTGCATTATTTTACTCCTATGTTAGATTTATTTATTTATTTATTTAAACTTTTAAAGTAACATAGTTGTAATATTATATCATGAATATAAGCTAAAGCAAGTTAGGCGAGAAGAATTAGTAATTGAATAATCAAATAAGAACAGACTTGTCGGGATAATTATAATGTCAAATCCAGGAGCAGATCTGGCTCTGGACCAGGGAGGGCCCAGGCCCACTCTAAAAAAATTACTCCCTCCGTCCCCCTAAAATTATCCCATTTTTTCGTTTTTTGATGTCTCTTTATTATTGTCTCATACCATATTTAGTAACATTTGTGTGATTCTAATTCATTCTTACTTTATTTCCACTTTATCAACTCATTACCAACCACATAATTCTACTTTTCTTAAAAACCACATCACTCCCTTCCGTACCAATATTAGGGGGACGGAGGGAGTACTATTATATACTCCTTCCGTCCCATAATTTACTTCCAACTTTCCCTTTTTGTCTGTCCCAAAAAGAACTTCCCTTTTCCTTTTTGGAAAATAATTTATGGTTCACATCAATTCTTACACATTCTTACACATTTCTCTCTCATCTGCACAACTCTCCACCACACAATTCTCACTTTCTTAATCCGTGTGCCATTTGTACTATGGAAGTAAATTATGGGACGGATGGAGTATATGTATTATATTATATAGTGTTCTTAAGAAAAAGTATAATTACAAGGAAAGTCAATTTGTACATGAACACCACTTGGAAGCAGATTTATGCCTTTAACCTAGGCGTCCAGAGTTCGAAGCCCATGTAGAGCAAGTTTTTTTACCATTTTCTATGAGAAAGCAGCATAGTGTGTGAGAATTTCAATTTTTCCCTAAAATCTCTGTCCCACACCGGAAAAAGAGAAGGATTCTTCCTTCAAACATATATATTTAAACTTGATCTCCTAAGTTCAATTACTACAGGCTTAACATCAATCTCAAACGGTGAATGAGCGAGATACTAATATTGTGTACGCTCTTGGACTTCTGAATATTAGCCTGAAAAAGTAATTTGTTCATTTCATTGGGCTTGATAGGTGAAAACTAGTTCAATATGTATGGGCTTGAGGTGTTTTTTGTATCCGATAAAAATTCTTATTCCTATTATATTTGTTTTTGTCTTTGACATTTATGTTGTAACATTTTATATTATATTTGAAAATAAAATTTGTTTAGTGACATAACATTTTACTACATTTTGACTTTTTTTTTGCAATATACGTTATTTAATTAAAATTTGGCCCCTTCTGATAGACATGGACCGGTTTCAGGCCGGGCCAGGCTCCGGGCCGGTCCAAACCGGGCTTGTCTCTTGGGGGTTAAGGCCCGGAACCAGCCCGGGATTCTATCAGGCGTGAGTCAGGTTGGATACCATTTTTTTGCTTTTCTAATTAATTCATACCCCCACCCTAAACCCCTCCAAAACACCCAACCCAACCCACCTACCACTAGGGGTGGACTCGGGCCGGGCCAACTGGCCCGGAACCGGACCGGCCCGCCACTGTGCGGGCCCGGACCGACCCGGTGAACCGGTTGGTTGGCCGGTTCGGGCCACCCTGCCCGATGGATTCTCGGGCCCTTCAAAAGGTGAACCGGCCCGGCCAGTTCGGGCCCGGGCCGGGCCAATTTTTATTTTTATTTTTATTTTTGAATTTTTTTTAAGTTTTTGGGTTGGGCTGGGTATTTTTGGCCATTTGAGGTGGTTAGGGTTGGTTTGGGGGTGAGGGGGAGGGTTGTGGGTTAAATAGGAAAAGCCCAAAAAAAAAAATATAACCGAGGCCCGGCCCAGCCCGGACCCGGGGATTACCCGGGTCGGTTCCGAGCCTCCCATACCTTGAACCGAGGCCCGGCCGGTTCAAGGCCCAAACTAGGCCCGGCCCGAACCGAGACCATCCCTACCTACCACCCAAACACTTTGAAAAAATGACCCGGGCCGACACCAAAGAACCATGCAGCCTGAGTCCGCCCCAAAAAACCCCTGGGTCGGGTCATAAGCCCCGACCCAGTACCAGGTAATCGGCCCGAGAAGACCGGAACCGGCCCATTCCTACCTCCTGAACGGCAATGCTAGCTAGATCCACCCCTATGGTTGGACTCGGGTCGGGCCACCCGGCCCGGCCCGCTACTGTGCGGGCCCAGGACCGGCCCGGTTCTCGGGTCCGGGTCCGAGTCAGGCCTAGGCCCGAGGGGTAGGGCAGGTCCGGGCTCGGGTCTCAAATTTGGTGAACCGGCCCGACCGGGTCGAGCCCGGGCCAAATTGAATTTTTTTTATTTTTTTTCATTTTTGGGGTTTCACCTGGGTTGGGCTTGATGGGTAGGATGGGTTTGGGGGGTTTGGGAGCGTGGGGGTGAGGGGGGGGGGGGGGGGGGTTAGGAAAGCAAAAAAAAAAACGAAGGCCCGGCCCGGCCCGGGCCGGTCCCGTGTCCACCATTCCTGAACCGCCGGCCCGCCCGGGCCTAGGCCCGACCCGGACCCGGCCTGGCCCGGCCCGGACCCGAGTCCACCCCTATCCACCCCTGGTCAAATCACATTGTTTTTACTCTTAATTTTACAGAAATTGCTATGAAATAGGTAAGATTAACAATTGTAGAGAATTTCAAATGTTTGAATTTCAATAAGACTATTAATATTTGATGACATTTATCTCTTTATTTTGAATAAACTTTAAATGATTTTTAAAAATATTTGTACTCTTTCATTGTATGTTCTAGTGATGGATTCGGGCCAGGTCGGGCCCGGTCGGGCCGCCGGTTTGTATGACATGGGCCCGGGACCGGCCCGAGAGTTGGACGGGTCCGGTTCGGGCCGGGCCACCCGCCCGGGTCACGGGTCGGGTCCGATTCGGGCCGGACCGGTTAATTTTTTTTATATATATAATTTATATTTTATAGTTTATAGTTTTATACGAGTATTAAAAACAAACTTCAAGTGCATTTATTTGAAATGAAATAGGAACTACATTTGAAAATTAAAACAAACTTTAAGAGACAAACATTTTGAAAATTGTAATCAATCGGAACTTCCCGCACCTCCCGATCCTTTAACTTTGTCACATGACTTCATATGCTTGATTGTCATCCCATACCCGCCTGAAACCCCCATGCTACATTTTTTCTCGCACCATTTGCAAATTGCGTACCACATCCCGGTCTTCGGGTCTTTCTGCTTATCAAAATTATACTGTATAATGACATCTTGATTTTTCATCTTAACTTCTCAAGTATAAACTATAAAGTAGATATATAAATAATAAATATAATATATTGGAGAATAAGAGAATTAGAGAGTTAAGAATAGGATTTAGGAAGAATTGGAGAAGAGATATGAAAAAATGTTTAAGATTAGGAGTATTTATAGGGTTTTTTACCCACCACCACCCACCACCCAACCCCCCCGGACCCCCCCCCCCCTTTACCCCACCCAACAGCTATATAGCCGTTTGGGTTGTCCCCAGCCCCACCCCCAACGGCTAGTAGCCCACTAGCCAAGAGCCCAAGACCCAAATTTTTTTTTTTAAATTAAGACCGGACCTGGGCCCGACCCGGCCGGGCCGGGTAACATTAATCCAGCACCGAGCCCGCCCCACCCATTCCCACCGGTTCGGGTCCATACCCAGTCCCGGACCGCCCGACCGGGCTGGTCCCAGGCCCGCACAGTACCGGGCCGGGCCGGGTGGCCCGAACCGAATCCAACCCTAGTATGTTCTGTGGGGGTAATTTGAAACTCGGCCTAGAACCAGTCAAGAACCGCCCAAGTAGACCAAGTTCAGACATGTAACTAGTATGGCCAGTACCAGGCATAATTCAGGTCCAGACTGAACCAGCCCATGTCCACCCTACTCTCTGAGTTTTACCTTCAGTCATCCCACATTTGGAAATTTTCATCAAGTTCAGGCTCAACCAGCAGATCCACCTACGCCCCAGAATGGCAGAATCAAATCCATCAGGAGTAACAAAAGCAGATAGTGTCTCTAAGCAAGGCCAAAAATAAAGTTCTCATGTCGGGATAGTGAAACATGCATGTAAAAATTATGCTACATGGATTTCGCTGATCTGTTTTACACATTGTTCTTGTATAACTTTGAGTAAATAGGTCGAAGAGCAAATAAGGTACAATTACACCTGAAAACCAAAATTTACAAGGAAACTATTCCACACGTTATCATCTCTGCCTCTGGTAATGGCGGGAGGCCATATTTCCGGCTTGCATAGAAAAAAATCTGAAACGCTACAGAGTACATACAGGTAAAATCTTCTTCCGTTGATGTCCAAATGAATGCTCATGCCTATACCTGGTTACTATGAGAGAAGTTCACATAAGCTTTTTGTCAATATTTAGTGGGTTAACGACATCTTATTCGACAATATTGCATAAGCGAGCTCGACCAGGATTGAGCAGTGATTCTGACATTACCCACCCCTGCAAGAAAAAATGCACTTTGAGCAACTATCAAGAAACTAAAGTTGCATGTCAACTTGAAAGAAAGTGTTCCCTACTTCCCTTAGGGTGTGTTTGGGAGTTGGGTTTTGGAAGGGAGGGGAAGGTTAATGGGGGTTTATGACCCTCCTTTTCATGTTTGGGAGTTTAAAAAATTGGAGGGGTGGTTTTGGAGGGCTTTTGTAACCCTTCAAAACCCTCCAAATGCTTAATTTTTAAGTTCCCCCAATTTGGAGGATTTTGGAGGATAATTAACAAGATGGTAATTTAAGCTAAATTAGAAACGAATATCAGCTCAATGATTTGAATTCGTCATATCTCAAAGTGACTTTAATTATAATTCATTCAAAAACCTTCTCCTTCCAATTTTATTACTCCCAAATACAAAGAAGGGCTTCCTCACTCTCCCCTCCCTTTCTCCTCCAACAACATACCTCCAAAGACTTCCTCTCCCCTTCCCTCCAAACTCCCAAACATACCCTTAGGATATGATAGTGAGTATATCAGTGTTCATTTGCATGATTATTTGCTCTACCAGGCATAGCAGTCATATCACTTGCAGATTAGATGTATCTTGTATAATAAATCGAGTAATGCTACAGTTACATCATGGTTCCGCACCTGGACAACATTTTGAGGTCATTTGGTTCACTTAAAGTGACACTACCTAGGTGATATATGCACCTTCGATTTAGATAATGCGGATACCATGGCAACATAACATTACAATCATGTTTGAAACTTTAAGTAAATTGGGGAAGGGGTAACTACATTTTCGGTGGTAAGTTGACGACATAAATTATACTTCCTCCTATAACAAAAGGGACTAGTTTGAGTAGGGTACTGATTTTTGTCTTTAGTCAACGCAATCAAGGTTTACAAGTAAAAAAAAGTCAGAAATACTCAGAAATACAAATAAGAATGCTCATACAAGGGCATTACAGTGGTTTTACTTAAAAAATGAAGTTGACTTTTAAAATACCCTTTCTTGAAACAATACTTTTTTGGATGGAGGAAGTATCATAATCCGTGATACACAAGGGCTCGAGGTAATCTTACAATCCTTCAATCTTAAATTCCCTCCCTATATAATCTTACACACAGAGGACAAGCCTGGAAGTGTCAAATACAAATCTGGCACAACTCTGACTAAATTATCCCTAGCTCACTTGCTACTTAAAAATTATTTATTAAGGTTCAGAGAAGAAAAATAAATCAATGCCAAACAGATATGGATTTCAATGTTCCCAACCTGATCTTTAGCTTTATTCTTGAAAGATGCATACAGAGCTGAGACCATTTTATAAGATTCTGCAACCTGAGCATTAAGATTAGCACTGGGCATCGAAGAAAACGAGCGATACTCTTGTGATCGATTCCTGGAAGACTGACAATCGGATGACTGGATGAATTGCAGAAGGACATGTGCCTGCATTATGAGCTTGGAAAATGTGATCTGATCTAATTTTCTAAGACCTTGAACTGGTTGTGTGAATCTTTCTAGTCTGATCTGGCCTGAAAGTTATTAATCCAGTCTGGCCTGAAACTTTCTCATACGGTCTGTTGTTCTTTTCTAATTATTTTGTCTAAAATACAACATCCTGAGGGGCCTGAATATTTCTGATATGGTCTAGTCTGATTGATTATGGTCTATTTAAAAAATATGAAATGAAACACTCCATAGGGTGAGCAAAACAACAACAAAATCACCAAAAGTCACAGACTCACGTGAAATGCGGCTTTGAGTACATCATCAGATTTTGCTTGATCCTTGAGCAATGCATATATGTTCCCTTTGCAAGGATTGTACGTCACAATATATTGTTCTCTCTGTTAACAATAAAGGTAGAGATGTTTTTGAGACACTTGAAAAATAGTTAGCATAACTAGCATTCAAGTTCAAATCATTAATGAAAGTGTGAAATGAGACATCTAAATTCCATATGTACTTCAAATATAGGCTTCAATGAAATATATGAGTCAGGATCTTGAAATGCCTCTCTGAATCTTGACCCTAAAAGCAATCAGAACAAAGTTACAACACTGTAATGATAGATTTAGAGGGGGGGGCATAAATTTGTTCTAGCATATAGTTATGTACCAAGAACAATAGGTCTCTGTGTTTTCCATGGAAAGCTGCATATAGTTTCCATTGAATTTCCCTCTTGTAGTGTAGGAACTCTACCTAAAGCACAAAAACCACAAGAGTTAATTAACAAAAGAATAACAGGTATTAATATTATTCAAGAATGTTGGATTTCAATATTGAGTAATCCACTTCTATGTTTGATATAGATTGTGGACTATGGGTAGTACAGAACTACAGCACAATACCTTTTAGCTTTGCAAAAATAATAACAAGGACTATTGGTTGCATACTTGTAAATCACACAGACATGCATACATACACTCAACACATATAAACATCCACACACACAGACACACACACATATATATATTCACATATATAAATTTGCAAAAGTGACCATGTGATTGCAGTCACAACAACATTCAAGCCTTATTCCCAACAGATTTTGGGGTCGGCTAACATGATTACATGAATCGATCCTATGTAATTGCATACAATGATTTAAAAAAAATGAAAGGTTAGGACTTAGGATCAAATGTTCTCATATTAAAGTGTTCTCATTTTAAAAGCGGTTCTCACTAGAGCCCCCCCCCCCCCCCCCCAATATACACATAAATACATAGATTGTATACATATATAGATGTAGACTGATGTACATATATATATGTGTGTGTTTGTGTATGTACATACATATGTGGGCATACATTTCTATATGTGTATATGTACACACCTGCATACATATATATACATACATAGATATGTATATATACATATATATACACAAACATAAATATGTATATATATATAGAGAGAGAGAGAGAGTAGCGATCCTGTCAGGCCAGCTTGACAGGATTCGCCGTCCGGCTGAGGCCATCAGAGGCCTTTCCCGGTGGAATTTTTTGATGATTTTTTTTGATCATGTTCCTCATCAAGTCTAGTTTATCCATACCAAATTTCAGCTACAAATTCAATCGGGAAGGCAGTCAAATAAATTGTTGAAGAGAATTGCGCTGTTTATATATATATAATGCACAGTTTTTGTAAAGAATTTATTTGAGTGCCTTCCCGATTGAATTTTTAGCTGAAATTTGGTATGGATAAACTAGACTCTATGAGGGACATGCTCATAATATTGTACACACCTGCATACATATGCTCATAAACTATACATGATTAAATTCGTAAATAGAACAATTTTTGTTGATTTTTAATTTAATAATGATAATACAATATAAGTAAGAGATTTTTTCAAAAAATATTATTCCAATGAAACTTATTTACAAAATATAAATAATAGTTACTATAGTATTGTCTCATAGCCACATAAGTGCAAGAATTAAATACAAGTTACTGTGACTAAGTTCCTACTATAGTCAGGAGGTCGAATTTTTGTAAACAACATTTCTTTTAATCATATTTATGTAACTATTTCTATATGTAAAGTAAAAAAAAACTACTCCCTCCGTCCCATTGGACTTTGCCAACTTTCCCTTTTTGGTTGTTCCAAAAAGCTTTGCCACTTTCCAATTAAAGCAACTAATTTGTGGTTCTGCGCATTTCTCTCCTCTGCAAAAATTTCAACCACACAGCTTTTACTTTTCTTATTTCTCACCTACTTTGCACTTGACAAAATCCATCGGGACAGAGGTAGTATTATATTTAAGTGCAATGATTTTAACAAAATTTTAAATACATTAGGCCTTAGATGGACAGTAAATATGAAAATGAAATCAATTACAAAATCTTGGAAATATTACACGAATATATCTACACTCATATTTGGAAGATGATATACATAGTTGGGAACCGTATAATATCATTAGTATGTATGAATAAAATAAATACAATAAAAATCTTGTTGGTAAGAAGCTATAATAATTCCCAAGCCATCCAACTAACCAACTGAACATAGTGGGGCAGTGGAGACGAGGCGGATGTAATATGCAGAAGGTCAAGTGTTCGAGCCCAGGCAGTATCTTTCCAAAATTTTCCGGGTTTAGCCAAATTTGTGGGTATGCAGCGGTCAGGGTCTGATCCGGGTCCGCACAGCCGCACAGGTCACCAGGTATTTCCAGTTTTTAACCATATTGATGGTTTGATAATCAACCGGGCTGGATTAAAAGCTGGTTTGGCAGGTTACGGGTCAGGCCGGCTGGTCCCGTTCTTAAAACATACACACACACACACACACATGCATACATATGTGTATATGTATCAAGGGAAAATAATTAAAATATCCCAAACTTTGAAGCGGTGTGAGATGAACACCCCAAACTTACATATGTATTTTAAATACCCCAAACTTTATATAAAAAGTTATTTTGACACCATAGTCAAGTATTATTTCTTTCAAAAATGCAAATTTATGGTGTTAATTGCATAATTCAAAATATTGTAAAATTCATGAAGACACAATTAACATTATAAACTTCCATTGCAAAATAAATAATGCTACCCCCAATCTATATGATTGCAACACTTCTAATTTGCTATTTTAAATTATGCAATTAACCCCATAAATTTACATTTTTTGAAAGAAATATTTTTAAATTATTTTATCATTTTTATGTATATTCATCTCTTTTTATATTATCTTTTTATCATAGCTTATCTTTTTTATCTTTATTTTCTTTCTTTTCCTTTTGATGGTGATATCATGTATCGATTCATGTTAGCCGACCCCAATATCTTTTGGGACTAAGGCTTGGATGTTGTTGTTGTTGTAATGGTGCGAAAATAACTTTTTATATAAAGTTTGAGGCATTTAAATTACATACGCAAGTTTGGGGAGTTTACTTCACACCCCATCAAAGTTTAGAGTATTTTTATTAGTTTTTCCTATGTATAAATATATATACACATATACACACATTCATAGATGTGTGCGCACATATATGCATGTGTGTATCAGTATACATATATATGGAACTATGGAAGTGTCCTGAGAGATTACCTCTTATCACGAGCACATTTTATTATGAGAAGTTTTAAACTAACATCCCTCATTTTTGTAATCAATGGCTATCACATAGAAGGTGTTATCTGTGTATTTATCCTAAACTAAAATGGGGGATTGGGGACTTTTGTGCAATATTATATCATAATAACCATAATGTCACGTAACAATGAAAGGTAGGGATTATTTATAAAGATGTACTCATGATAAGAGAGTTGTAGTACAGATACTCCAAACAGACATACATGTGTTTGTGTGCGTGCGTGTTTGTCAAGCAAAGCAGTCCCAGAAAAAAAATTGGGACCAGAAGCACAGTGAACTAACCTGTCTTCAAGTAAGACTCGACTGCAACAGTAAATCTTGCCCTATTTAAAGTACATAGCACAAGAGATTTTACCTGAGAATTTCACCATATAAATTCATCAGTAAAACAGTGATGACAGAACCGGGGGGGCATATGTGACTTGTAGGATTCAAAAATATGCAAAGTTCCACACTGACCTCATTGTAAGAACTGAAAAGATATCCACATGAAAGAAGGGAAAATGTAGTCAATAAGGATGGGTTTCTTTTGGATATCATGATGCTCATCCCAGTGCCAAGCTTCACAAGTAACCATTATGAAAAAATTAGTTAAAGTGAAAAAAGCATTTAAATTCTACAAATTTTATGTGAGTACTGAGTTCAGAATTAATTAATATCGGATCTAAGTGTCACAGGCCCAAGTACTACCATTTTATTCATTCAACATGTTCAAAATTGCATTGAGCCAAACTAAAAAACTACTTTATAATCAGATTTTGACGAAGCAATGGATCAACAGGGTTGGTTCAACTTAAAGAAACTAATAAAACTTTAGGGTTGAAGACTCTAACCAAGTAAAAACGTATTATTTTATCTACCTATAATTTACAAACAGGCATAAAACAAACTAGTTGTCCTGATTACAACTCTTCATCACTTATCTTTATTACTATGTGAGGCTTAAGCCTTAAGGTCAGATAACTTCAACTATTTCTCAACACTCACTTCTCCAGCTGGAACACACGCACATATGTTCAATGTAAACCGTAAGCTCCAAGTTAGTTATATGTGTTCTCTTCTAATTCTATATCCCTCTAAGTATGTATAAATATATCTGCTAATTACCTATGTTGTCAGAAATGAGAAAACAGCTGGGAATGGAACCAGCCAAGTGACCAAATAAACGCGTCAACCCGGACCCAGGGGGTCAGCTAGTCAACAGAGGTCAGACTGCTTAATGGATGGTCATTCCGGTCAACGTTTATCAAAATATAAAAAATGATATGCATATTATCAGACATCTAATTAAAAGAACAAATATTATTGTTCATAATCAATAATGTAATATGTATTAAGCAGTGGTTACACATTTATGGGCCATGAGTTATACTTGATTACTTGATTTAGACATTTTTAGAATAATTGTATCATGTATCTTTCTAGCATGACTTGCATGGATATACCACATAATTTCTTGGTTCCTTTATGAATATTGGCTAGCATTTTTAATGGAACAAAGGATCTTAAACAAATAAAAATCCTTGAAACACTGGGTTTTTTAGTTTTTACCATCCAACATGGTTTTATCAGTTTGCGCCAGGTTTGACTGGGTTGGCAGGGTTACATGCTAACCAGCCCAACTTGGTGACCAGGTCACCTGTTTCTATGTAACACAGTTCCGCCAATTCAGTTACACTATTTCAAAATAAACTAAGAAAGTGAGTCAATAATTGACTACCTCTTGGCAACAAATAGTGGGCAAGTGCATGTATTAAATATCAGAAAAGGTGATTAACTTGATGTATTACACATAAAAACAGCTAAATAGTGGTGAGTTTGACATTAGTTTTCTAACACACTAGCTTATAAACATAAAAAAATAATAAATAAATCGGAGAAGCATACCAGATCGGCAAGATTGGCCACACACTCCCCTTTAGCAGTTACATCCCCAATGTTTTCTCCTTTAGCAAAGGCCTTATATATAGGAGTACGGGTTGATGTTGATGTGACCGCAGAAACATTCTACAAAGGAACGGAGAATTATGTCAGTTGACAACTACATATTGCTGATTGCAAGAGGATCTGTGTTGCGTGTAAGATAAAAAATACAAACCTTGGCCACGTTGGCTGCACACGCTAAAGGAAGGAAAAGTTGTGGAAAAGCAGAAGTTGCCAATTCTACAGCAGCTCCCAACTGCATGAGGAGATCTCCCGCGAACCTAAGCTGATAAAGAGCATTCCATATCACGGCACATAAGTCAAATGAAATATAAAAGCCAACAAACCAGTAGAAGAAAAAGTATAGCTTGTATAGTGATGTATACCTGTTTTAAATCATAATCAAATTTCTTTCCTTGGCGAGCGAAAATCATCTTTCCAACCCGGCCTGCACCATCCTGCGGTTTTCACAACCTTTTAATCTATGTATGTGGATCACAAGAAACTATCTATTTTACCTTTTTAAATTTTAAACAACAAAACTACCAACACTGTACTCTTCAGGACATGAATATATTCAGTATACATGACTAAAGAAAAAGAAACCATTTAAGGAAAGATGACATTGATCTACGAGTGATGATAAACCACTTATAAAACACTTTAAGACCTTCAATAGAACCATCTTCGGGGATTCAATGTGATGGATGATGCCAAAATTAATGTGCACTTCTCCTAAGGTGAAATAGTGAAATTCTTTTGATCTTTCAGAAATAAAAAACAACGATGCAATCTAGAATAGTAAAATATAGTGCCAAACTGCTCCTTTTTGTCTGCAGAAAAAGAAGAAATAATTGGATATCCCTACATTTTAACAGTGTCTATTCATCTCATGGTTGTTATGGTGATGGTGCATTTATGGCATCATCACTTAAACAAAAAAAACAAGAGATACTCCTCAGATTACGAGCAAAACATAACGAAAATGCAAAGTAGGACTTAATATTTAAAACTACCTAAATAGGAATAATAATTTGTGGTTGGACAAAACCACCCTTCTTCTAAGGTTTGAAGCTATTACCCTCTGCCACCAGACAGCTGCCGCCGCTGGCAGCCACCACCCTATCCTGTAACACTAAACACTAGAGTATTTTCCTCCACACACAATATATTACTCCTATTTAGGGAAATTAAAGCATGAACTCCTATTTTTGCACTTTGCTTATGTTTCAATCCTATTTTAGGTAATTTCTTAAAAAATTGCAAATATGAAGTGTAGACAATATAGTTCTATGATTTAACCACCTATAAAAGAGTTAAACAACCAAACTCTAAAAAACATTTAGGCAAGTCAAAATAGTATACAAAAGCTACCCTAATAAAACACAACTAAGTGACTAACTTAATAACCCATAAAAAGTTAATATCTTCCATTAATGTGAATCTATAGTTCAATCATTATGATCTATTCATTATCATTCATCACACTCCTCATTCACAGCCTCTCTAATGGTTGTAAGGTTGTACACACCTTTTCTACGGACCTTACTAGCTGTTTGTTGTTCTGGTGTGCAGCTCCTCTTACATATGCCTTGGTTTCTGTTAATTAGATTTTGCTTGGTTGATTATTAGGTTTTTCTAATTCTATATTGTGAACTTACTCCCAACACTCTTAACAGACTGACCATTTATTAATTACACTCAAGGCTCTAATTAATATGGGCCTAGCTTTTCAAATATTGGCCAATTTGTAGCACAAATGGGAAAGGCGTACAAATCATGCCAAATGTATAAAGGACACCGCAGACTACTTTTGTGGTGATAGACACTTAAGAAGCCAATGGTGATAGCCATTTGTGCCATTAACTAATACCATCTCTGTAACAAAAAACTTTGCCATTTTCAAAACTTTAACCAATTATTTTATTTTATTGGAAATCATATAATAATATAAAAATTATATGGAAATGTTCTTTGTTAAAAGTAATCCCATAAAAGTATAAAATTAATAACTTATACAATATTATACTAATCAAAATCATGGTTCAATTTTTTTTGAAATGGAAAAGTTTTTTGGGACAGAGGTAGTATGATTTATTTAATAGCAGAGTCAATACTGATTGCAGAGGTTACCATGGAACAATAATGTAACTTCTGCAAATGAACAGAAGGGAAAAACTGCAGTTTATATGATGAGTTACGTGGGATGTGGCATTCAACTATTCACGTAACTCACAAGAGATTCTGATATGCAACAGAGAGGACAACCTCACCTAGCATTTTCCAAAACTAAAAAAATTAAGTAAGCTTGAGAATAGTGTATAGATTGATTCTCCATTAAAAGAAACTTATGCATGACATTATCATAGAAACGAAATTAGCACCTTGAGTATCCAGTTGATAGCTACAGCTCTGCTTTTGGATACTCCAACTGAACCTAGGAGTGTTTGTGTTGTAAACACACTCATTGCTCCTCCACAAAAGTACTGCGAGAGAAACACAAATGATTAATGTATTATGTAAACCCAAGCAAATCAAAGAATATTAAAAGCAAGCAACAATTTAACCACATTGAGTTGAAATCCTGATATAATACCTTTAGAGCCCTCCATTTCATATATGGCACATAAGAAGGTGTAACACTGTCTGGGAAACCATCGGGGAGCACATAAGATCTTATAAATGCCATCAAGTCCTGCACAGAGCAGAAAATTATACCATACTTTATTCACACTTGGACACATACATGTGAAATTAAGGGTATCGCATTAAAGAAAATCAAACAAAATTCTTACAATTGATTTGCAGTATTAAACTATTAATTCATTAATTCGCTTGGAGCAGTATGAGTAGCTAAGAGTTTCTCACTCAGCAATAAATAATAAGCACACTTGAGGGACAGATTTTCTGACAAGCATAGCTCAAGCATGAAAAGATGTTCACTGCGATTTAGCTATCATTGGTATGCATAATAAATAGCTTAATAAGATTATAATGATGAGATTTGAGATTGTTTTCATGGAACATGCAAACTATTCGCAATTTAATTTTTGTTGATGTTTGGTCTTGGTATTGCTACTTTAACTATCCTGCTTAAAGATTAATTGCTAATTTTGCTAACAAGTTTCTAGGAGTAGGAATCTAAGGTGGTTTAGCACTATGAGGTGTTTTAATTGGAATGCACTCCATAGGAGAGCAGAAGAAAATCGTTGTTTCAATGTAGTGAGTGTTTATTGGTCATGTCATTATATTCCCCCTTCACAAACAAACGAAAAAATGGAATGAATTAGACATTAAATAAATCGAAAATAACTACCAGAGCCCAAAGCTTTAAAATAAGCGAAATTGGTTGTACCAAGTGATATCAGTTCCACTATGCAACCCAATAAATTGAAGTGGGGAAAGTATGAATGGAGCTAACTACTCATGCATAAAAAAACATTAGTGATACGAAGAAGGAAACTGACATCAAATGGAGCTTGGGGACTCTGCAAGCCAACACCGCGAATCGAGCTCGTCCTAGACTTCATCGCGCCACAATCCACCCTGCCATCCGGAAAGTACTTCCACACGTTCCCGTCCATCTCCTCGCAGCAGAGCAATCTGGAGAACGAATCATTCGGCGCGTCCGCGGAGTCGGGTAAAGGAGGGGCGGAGGCAAGGTTGGCGCTAATCCGGAGAGTCTCGCGAACGAGCAAGCGGGCGTCGTTAGACGACGCAGTGGCCGTCAGGGTTTGAGAAGCAGAGCCGGAATGAGGGTTGAGCTTCATAATGTATCGTGATAGAGAAATTGCGATTGTGATCGGAGAATTTGCGATGGCGGAGTTTCTTATGGAGGGGAGGTAGAGCTTTGGAAGTGACGACGCAGAAGGAGAGGTGTCACAACAGCCTAACAATTTTTGCGACGGAGCTTAAATTAGTCAATAATTTTCTAGAGTATTTCCTTTCTTCCCTAAATTTAAAATAATACAACATACATTATTAATTACTAGTATTTCACCCGTGCGATGCACGGTTGAATACTTTATACAAATATAAAACACAAAAGTTGGATACAACATAAACAATGCAATACACAAACTTAATAATAGTAGTATACTTTTGAAAAAGAAAATAATAATACAAATGTATCTTAAGATATAAATGAAAAAGTAATGTAGAAGAGAAGATAATATCAAATGATAATAAAAGAAAATCCCATTGTGACATGTTTACAATTAACATAAGAACGAATTCTCTTTTGGAGTAGTAAACAGAACATTATCATCAACTTGTTGGCGGTGCTTCACATTTTGAGGAAATTCGTTCTCAATATTTAGGAAAAAAGTTTATATAAGAATAATTATAAACATGGGTGAACATATAAATAATACTACCAATGATGCATTTGATCAAAATTTAATTCGATGAATTATACTGAGTACTTTACAATAAATGATTATACTCGATATAAAATAGTTTTTCATCCCATTTATTTAAATATACGACGTACAAAGTATATATCATCCTCTATTTCTTTTTAGTTGCAATATTAAAAATTTACACTATTCAAATACTCTACTTCGACTACATTTTATATATTAATGTATGAGAATTTTTTTTTTAAATACATGTTTAAATTCGTCTAATTGCAAATTCATAATCTTGATTCTAATTATTTTTTCTTAATACAAAATTAAATTTAATAAAATCAAATTTGTGCATAGGTAAGCATGAAAATAAGAAGTATCATGTAGAACTGAAGAAGTATTAGCAATAAAAATTTTGTGATTTGCATGACAAAAAAGCATTGTCCAGTGTAACACTCCTACAGGCCCAATCCATTTTTTTGCTCCAAAATAACCGACCTACATGGTCCACTACTTCCAGCAACTATCAAAGGCCTCATTCTCGTAGGCTTTTCCTCAATCCTCATATGAAATGTTCATCTGCTCTCTTCATTTCTATCATCACAAATCAAAATAATAAAATCACAAGTTCCAGGTTATATTGAAGCATAGTTTATTAGTTTTACTGAGGTTGGAATCCCCTTAGAGTGAAATTCTCGAACAAACCCTTCCAAAGGATATTTCCGCCAGGGATCCGATCTCACTTTCCGCTTGTGTGTCGTAACCTTACTGCCTTCATTCAATCCATCCTCAGTGACTGCGTAAGTTCTCAATATTACTGCCTTCATTTAGTCCGCTTGTAATCAATGACTGCGTAAGTTCTCAATATTACTACAACTCCTTAAGAAATACTTACGATTCAACAGAAAATAAGAATATTTCATGTATATCTTCTTCATTACACTTACAGTTAACACCTAATTTATCTGTCCTAATCGAATCCCGACGTGCTTGCCTGACCCTTGATAAAAGATTGACGGACGTACTGTGAGACTGTGTCATCTATTCACGGGTGTCCCTGTTCTCCTACCCGTATCCGTGGCCCTTGTTGTCCTCGAAGGAAGTAACTCACCGCAGCCAAGGCGGTGCTCTTCTCCACCGAAATTAGATTGACGGGTATGTGTGTGTTAGTTGAATTTATGTTTAATCATTTTCTGAGTGTTGGGTATTGTGCATCCGGATGCTCAAATGAATGCATGCTCTCAAATTAAAATCTTTATCATAAATTTCACATTAAAGTTTTAAGTCTTGTAACTAAATCTATTTTCTAAAAGGTAAACATAACATAGTTTTTATTCTTTACCTTTTAATTATGTATCATACTTTGATTTGTGACAAAAAAAATCGTAAACGGTAAGCTCAAAAAACTAAGCTAAAAAAGAACAACATTTATCAGCTTATTCTCTTATTTAAACACATTATTTAACAATATATTATTTCTGCTTTGTTGCTCTTCATTAAAGGTATAGCTCTAGGAATCTCCCTCTCAAAAGAACTCTGGGCTGGAGCAAAAGTGAAGTTATATATATGAATCAAATTCCACCACTTGGAACCTGTCAGTTCAGCAAACTCTACCATACAACAAAAGATAATTAAGTATTAACCCAATACGAGTCTGTTTCAATTTTTGGTGTGATACCACCGATCAATTATATAAAAGACTCTAAAAATTGCAAATTGTCAAAAGATCAAGACATAGCGGAAAAATCTTTATGAAATTAGTTATACTCAAATTCAATAAAAACTTTTTAAAAACGTAATATCATTATGTTTCATTGCTTACTCATATGATTTTTGAAAGAAACAATGCCATAAAACATTTTCGGGAATCACTTAAATAACTACCATTTAATACTTATTAATTATTTAAAGCTACCCAGATCATGAAGAACTATCATCTGTTTGGAATCCCAGAAACAACAGAAGATAATTATATGTTTGATTCATTGTTTCACCATAATTATATATGTTAATATATCCTATTGAGTAGAAAAGTAAGCAACTCTTCAAAGAGTTCTGATTTTTAACTTAAAATAGTTGTTATTATGAGTTTGCTATCAAGTAAAATATTGAGCTAGACTCTAATTGTATGAATATGTTTTAAAGGTGCACATCTTGGAAGCTGCTACCTCCAGAAAATTCCATTATGATTTTATTTTTATAATGGCAGATTTCCTATATCTTCAATACACATTTCACAAATAAGAAATCATATATATATTATTATTATTATATACTCCCTCCGTCCCCTTTTATTGTCCCATTTCATATTCACTTGGTTAACACCAATCACTCTTAATCTCTTACTTTATTTATCAAATTTGATTCTGGTTTTTGCAACTTTGTAAAACTTTTAATGTAGTTTCTGAATATGCAATTTTTTTTCTAAAAATAATTCTAGTGTGGACAGGAATCTATTTGCTTTATCGTCAGTCAAGCATCGTAAATCGCAATGGAACAATAACAGGGGGACGAAAGTAGTAATAGTAAAAGAAATCTTGCTTAACCTATAAATGAAAAAGAAATCTTGCTTAACCTTAGAAATGAACTTTAGGCTGCAGCAAGTGATCAGTTATTTCAGAATGATTTTGCTTTAGCTTTTTTGTTATATTATCAGTTGATACAGAAACCATATAAAATATTGTTTTTAAACAATTTTGAAATGTTTAATTTAACAGTGTAATAAAAAGCTCATACTCAGATCTGCTATCTTAAACAGCTACAGATGATACATGTCAGGTGATCGATGACTTTGCACATCTTGAAAGCTCCCATTTTTAGCACTCTACTATACAACAAAAGGTATGTATTTATCCAATATAGTTCTATTTCAATTTATCACACCATAAATTATTTATGGTGTGATACCATCGATCAAAGACTCTAAAGAATTGCATTTTTTTAAAGATTTTGAGCCTTGCTAAAATATCTTGATGAAATTACTTACTTAAATTTGATAATAACTAAGTAAAATTTGCTACCATCAATTAGCTGTCCAAGAATTTTATTTTTAGAGCTTAAAATAGTTGTTCTTTTGATCCCAAGACTCCCATTTCATGCTCATGCTTAAAGGTGCCCCTTTTGCAAGCAGCAATCTTCAGCAAATTCTATAGCAAATTCTATTATACCGCAAAAAATAAGTATTGGTCTGATATCATTTGTTTAAAATTTTGTTGTACCACCTGTTAAGTAAAAGACTAATAACTTGACCTTTTAACTTATACTTAGATCTGTCATCGCCTATGTAGAAATTTCCTATTCTTCTTTTTAGGTTTTTTTTGCATCCGAATTTTAAAACAACTTTCATTTTCAGCTTTTTCCTAGTCACATGTACACAAACAGGCAGATTCCTTTCTTTTAAACCGATGATTGTGATCTAATAGTTATTTATAATCAACCTTTTTTTAACTCTTAGTTTGTTGCTGTTATTTGAAAATGATTATATAATTTTAAAATTAAACTATTCTCGATATCATATGAAAAGATCCCCAAATTTAAGAAATTGAAGAAAAACATTTCTTATTTGAAAACAATTTAAACCATACTTACAAAACATGAGTATTTATCAGCAATACTTAATTTAAAATAGATGTAATAAACGGCATAAAAAGAATTATCTATATGAAAACAACCTAAAAGAATTATCTAAAAAATGAATGGTTAGAAAAATAAACATTAACACTAAGAAGTAAGAAGTACCCAATTGAAAACTATGCCTCACAATTCATCATCATGGAATATGGAGTCATTCCATGGAAGGTGGAACACTAAACACTCGATAGCTTCTAACCTTGAGTCCATCTGTCCATTTTCTTTGTTCACATATCCAAGAGAACTCCATTTTTTGCTCTTGTTAAGCCGGACAAAATGGAATTGAATTTGAATCGAAAGATAAGGAGTGCACCGGCTAATTGACACCCACGTTCGATTTTTTTATATACAGATACAGGACAAAATCTGAACATACAATAGACATGCATTAAATGCTTCTATGGGGGAACCAAACATCAGCCATTTGCTCAACCAAAATAGCCAATCAGAAATCTTCTCTCAGAATTATCATTACCGATTCATATTTTATGGATTTTCAGTTTGTAAATTAATTAAAAGTTGTATTCTCGTGAAAGTAACATCATGATTCTAGAAGATACTACCTTTGGGCGGGAACTTGCTCAAGAAGCTTTCTTTTGCTAATATATTATAATAGATTTGTATATACGAGTATAATTAACTCCGACACTTCATACTCGTGTGATACCACCTCTATTTCAATAATTTAAGGTTCACACTTATAAAACACTCCTCTTTATATTTATAAATAATATAATACTCCTAGGTTCCCTAATTTACTTCCAACTTTCTCTTTTCGTTTGTCCCAAAAAGAATTTCATTTTTTCTTTTTGGCAAAGAATTTGTGGTTTGCAACCATTCTTACACTGTCTTACACATTTCTCTCCTCTGCACAACTTTCCACCACATAATTCTCACTTTCTTAATCCATGTGTCATTTGTACTATGGAAGTAAATTATGGGACGGTGGAGTAT